CCCTTCCGCCGTTGCCGCAGCCTGCCTGCTCCCCGGTTGTGCCGCCTCCCGAGGCAGGCGGGAAGGGGAGAAAACCATTTGGCGTGGTTTCGCTCACAAAGGGGCGCAGGGCTCCCGTGCAGAGGTTCCCCGGAAAGGCGGGCACGGAGGACGCGCTTTTAGGAGAAAGTGCGAGCACGTGCCCTTTCCCCTCTGAGATAAAAATCTTCTTGAAAAGAGGTTGCCAGGAGTGTGTAGTTTGGAGTGGTTTCTCAATGCCTGCGCTGCAGGAGCTTCCCTCAAGGCCACAGGTAAAGGTGTGCGAGACTCTGATAGGTTTTGGAAAGGGGCCAGTGAAAATACCGCTGTTTAGCAAGGGTAGCTTTTAACTGTTTGTGTTTTTCATTTTTAGTTGCAGCTCAGCAACAGCAGACAGTCTGACAACCGTTCTTAGCTTGAGAATGGTTTGTTTTCTTCTTTTCAGATGACTTAAACTCAGTGGGAGGAACTGGAGCCTCCTGAGAGGCCTGACTTGAAGTCTGAGAAATGCTGCTGTCAAAAGTTTCTGCTTTGATTATTGAGACTGTAGGTTTCTTCCATATGCCAATGGTGCCCAAAGCATAGGCAGCGTAGCTGATGTATATTCATATTGCATATAATAATAACTCTTTGTTTGAGGTTAGTGTCCTTGTGATCAGAAATTTTTTTTGGTTGCTGATTTTTAGGAGATGTACCAGTGCTTATGTATCTTTTTTTTTTTTTCCCCCTTGAGAATCTGTTTATTGAAGGTTTAAACTTAAATATTGATGTTTGCCTGATTGCATTTGAGAAGTCTGTTGGAACATCGGTGGTGTTTGACCATTGCAATAGGAGAACAGTCTTTTCTCTTTATAAAGAGTTGAAATCATACCCTAGTCTTGAACCCAATTTATAAGCTAGGAAGTATAAAAAGTAAAAGAACTTTAGTGTCTATCAAACAGTGAACATGAACTAATCAGCAAGTTACTTAATTTTATTTAAGGAATAAATTTTGAGGTGTTTAGGCTCGTTGCTTGAGTTGGGTACTGAACTGTTCGCCTGTTCTTGAGCAGCCGAGGTATCGTTCTGATCTGCAACTGAGGCTCCGTGACCGTGTTCTCCCACTGAGCTGACACGGAGAGCAGTCACGTTGCAAACGGCATGGTCAGCTCTTTGCACACCGCATAGTGCTGCTAGTTGCTATTGTCTACTTTTAATGCTGATTGGAAGAAGCTTGCTCTTTTTGGCCTCTGTGTAGGAACTGCTCTCTTTCGTGACACAGTGAAATAGATCTGTATAGACGTATAAATGCCAGTATATGGAGTAAGTGATGATCCTGCTGCCCCTGTGCAGGTTCAGACGGGTTGCTGTGGTTTCCTTCTGTTGGATCTGTCAGGGGTACTTACAGGTTGGTTTGGGAGGATGTGGGAGTACTTGCTATGGAGTACGTGGACGTCTGTAGAAACAGATTTATAGAGCTTGGGAGTATTTTGTTTGCTTGTGTTTTCTTTGTTGTTGTTTTTTGTTTCTTTTGTTTTAACTTGGCGGGGTGCATACCGGAGCATGTAGACATTCAAAAGGAATCGTATGGATGAGCCGAGCTGTGACTAGTGTCTGGTATTAAGGGTGTTCTAGGATTTGGTCTTGATGCCCCTTGTGTGTAGGGTTTTCTGTATATCACAGAATTTCCTTAATGCTTGCCAAGAGGAAACCTAATCATGCTTAAGTATCTACCTTCCAGCAACTAGTGTAATCTTTTGTGTGGAAATCCTAATATTTTAGGCCTTTATGACTTAGCCTGAAAAACTGTAAAGAGGCATAAACTAGCCACTGTAGTATTTTACTGCATAAATCTGCTGGTGTAGTACTTCATCTTGTATTTCTTTTCAAGGTCCTAGTTCTGTGAGTCAAGCACTTCACTACAGGTATTTGGGATGCTTTGCCAGTAGGTGATCTTGGGGCTGGAGCTGGTGCTGGATGTTCTTGCACAAAATCCTCTCTCATTCAAATGTGCTGAACTCTAATAGGTTATAAATCAGTGTTTATAGGCTGCCGAAAACGCTACGCAAAACTGCAACTTCTAAGAAGCCATCTCATGATAAAGTCCCTCACCGTCGTTCAGTGATGGGAAATGAATCTCTTCACAACTACAGCTGTCTCTTGGCTAGAACCTCAGCCACAGGCACCCCAGGTACATGAGACGTTTGAGCCTCAACTGCATCTTTGAGCAACTGATGAACCAGAAATAGAACGATCTCATACCAGATTATCCACTTAGAGAGACCTACAGTTGCGTACTGCACTTCCAGCTTGCAGGACTGATTGTAAATCCACTAAAAATAGATCTTTATTTAACACTAGGCTTACACGCGCTCCCTGTCAAAATGCTTTTAATTTTCCTTTCTGACACTCGCTATTATATTTTGTATTCCTCTAGATGTTTCCAAGAATTGTAGGCAAAAGTGCTTTTCAGTGTTGCTGTTCCTACAGAGCTAATATTATGCACATTCCATAAAATCTGTAAAGATTCATTTGAACGCACAGAGCCATAGGACTCTTCAACAAGTGCTGTCAGGGCTAGGCATCTATGCTACTAGGAAATTAATTGGGGGAGTGATGTAAACTTCTGTAACTATGGTCGTAGGAACCCTTGACTACCAGTACTATAAATAATCAAGGGGGGAAAAATATCTTTTTGTGGGAAAGGAATAGCTGGTATTGTTTAAGCGGTAGCTTCTGTTGAAAGGTTAATGTAACATTGGTAGTCTGAGGATGGAAACGGATGGGGGATAACTACTGGAGACAGGGCTTTTGGTGGCTGATGTCGTATGTTCTTCTCTCTCCTGGTTCTTCCTTAAAGTAGCCGGTAGATTTGATATAGCTGTTGATGGGAATTTGTTCCCCTGAGCATAGATTCTTCTATCTTTATGCAAATACTAAGTTTTGGGCTGTGTATTTTGCTTGCTGCTGTGTCTGACACTTGAGAGAGGTTTTATAAGCTGTGAAGAATTTCCTTATTTCTCAAAAGAGGCCTGTTCCATTTCATGGCTCTTGCATTTGATTCTCAAGTGATGTCTTTCCCCTTGTCAGATGTTTATTCCATTTGAGTGATGGGGGATGACAGTTTGTGAAGAGGCATAGAAAATTGTAACCTGTGGAGTTTTTTGATTAGCATAGGAAAAAATGTGATGGAGCTGTATTGACTCAGAATTAAAATTGTTTACTCTGTTTCAGCACGGTTCATCGTTTTCTTTGATCTTTTCTTTAAACTCCTTGTGTTTTCATTGTGTTTTATCTCAGGTTACAGAGTTCTCAAGTTTCTGTCCCCTGCCAGGTTAGCACTACTGATTCTTATGATCTTCAGGAATCTGAAAAATAATTCTAGGATGGATATGATTTAAGAAATTCCTTTTACTCTGAAATGTAGTTGAACTGTAGAACTCAAAAACCCAACCCCTACGTTACTATCTACTTGTTGGGGGCTGGGAGACAGTGTGGGAATACAAATGGTGCCCAGCACAACTTTTTTTGCAAACGTCTTGCTAATGCAACTCTCCAAGGCAGACTGCAGGCTTTGTGCCTTGACATGTTGCTGCAGTGACTCAGTTCTAGATGCTGCTGATATAAAGGGGCATTTGGGTTCCTCCACTGGCTTCTCACACAAGTCAAACTGAAAGACAGTATCGTGTTGCTGACTCCTTTAAAGCATGGTGACAAATGAATTCAGGATTGTGCATCATTGTAGCCATGACGTTAGGGGAATTTAGTCTATGATTATGATCAAAAAGTTCCAGATTGAATATCTGTTGCTGCTTTTCTTGAGTGTTTCAGGCCATGTCATATGCCTATGTTGAAATCTTTATGCTACATCAGACCTAGAGGTTTATTGAATTCAGTATCTTTCTGCATTCGGAAAGCGACACTGGCTGCTCCAATGGAAGGCACAAGAAGCAGTGCATATTAGGCAGCTATAGGGTAATCTGCTTCCAAAGAAACAGTGATTTATGTCTACTGCAACTTATTTTTGTTCATTGTTTCCTGTTTATCTCGATGATCTTCTTATCCATAGAAATGTCTAGCCCTCTTTTTGAATCCTGGTGCATTTTTGCTTCTAAATGTTTAGAAGCAGTAAGTTTCACTTAAGAAAAAAATATTTTTAAAATGACCCCTTTAATTTTTCCATACATAAGTGATGATTCTGTTCTTCGTATATTATATGAAAGGTTGAGCTGTTCCAAACTTTATTGCCTTTTTAATATCTCCTGTTACTCATTTGCTTTCTAAAGCAATCAGTCCAAATCTTTGTAGTGTCTCTGTCCATATTTTTTCCACATCCTCTATTGTTCTTCTTGTTCTTTTCTGAATTATGTCCTCCTCTGACAAGAATTCTGAATTTTACATGTGGTACTCCTCTTGAGATGGAACGAAGATGAAATGAATGCAGTATTTCAAGGAAGATGCACTGTTGAATTGTGTAGTTATACAGTAACACTTTTATCACCAGCAAGATACTAGATGCTGTATAGAGATGTAAGAAGGTATGTACGGTAAGGAGAACCGCTGCATAGGTTTGAAGGTCTTATGTGGTACCAACTCAGTCTAATGCATATTGAAAGTCTGGAAGCTTTACCACAGACTTCATGTTATAGGGGCAGGGCCAAATTCTACTTCTTTCTTCTTCATGTTTGTATTTCAGTTAGTTAGGGATGAGATGAATGTGAGCCCTTTGTAACAACGTGATCTAATCTTGAGGTAGCCTGGATTTTTTTAGCATGTCATTTGTAGATGAATAAAGTTTTAAGAGGCATAGTATTGTATTTGAATCCCAGCTTATGGAGTAGTTCTATTAATTTAGAAGCAAATTCTATACTGACGCCTTGTGTTTCTGTTTCTTCAGGTGCTGGAAAACTACTCTGATGCTCCTATGACCCCAAAACAGATTCTGCAGGTCATAGAGGCTGAAGGACTGAAGGAAATGAGGTTAGTATTGATCATCTTGTTTAAAACATAGCGTGCGTGGAACATGGAGGAGGCTGCATATAAAGGCTTGGGTTGCCTCGTGCAAGTCTGCCTCTCACTTCCAGCCCACTTCTCTTCCATTTTTTTTCTTTTCTTTTTTTTTTTTTTCTTTCGAGCGTAGTGATTTGGGAAGACAGTATATACTGCCTGATTATCCTTGATTTAAAAAAAAAAAAAATCCAAGAAAAGATTCCGGTTATTATCATATGCAGAAACCCCTTCATCCATTTATTGTAAAATAAATGCCTGTCGCAGATCAGACTCCTGCGTTGTATTGTACCACTTGTGTATTTCTCTTATCAGTAGCTCCCAGTAGTTTCTGCTATTGTGATTCTAGTTCAGTAACAGTTTTAAGTTCCGTCCCCTCTCATACTTCATTTCTAGAGCAGATGTTACCTTTTAGGAGAGTCAAGAAAACACCTTTATTTTGTATTAGTATGCTGGCTTCTGATCAGATTCTAGAGCACTGTGGTAGTGTGGCTCATGCTACTGTGGCTCTTGACACTTGTATAAAGGAAATATACGTTTCAGTATGTATTTTGCCCAGAAAAGAACCTGGTATGGAACCTAGGATGCTACAGAATGGAAGACTGTTTTCCTCAGTTAAGTTCACGTGAACTTCCATCTGTTTCTGTGACTGCATAGAAGAGAAATAGAAAATGTCTTGCAGATCAAAAAAGTGGGCAACTGTGATGGTATAAATGCCTCAGGGCAGTGTGATTTTAAAAAAAAATGAGTTTGACACCAGTGGCGCAACAGATCGTCTTTGGCTCATGCATACTGGAGAATCCAGATGTGTGGACTGTTTCTAATCATATTTGCTCCCTCACCCCGGTTTTATGAACCTCTACCTAGCTACAGGAAGTAAACTAATTTCTTCTGGGACCTAACAACTCAAAACGTTAATTTGTTTCTGCTTCTTATTTGTCCTGAAATCAGGAAACAGCTGCGATGGTTTGAACAGTGAACAACTTTGTGATGCAGACAGAGGTATAATGTGTAGGAGTTACTGTCGTTTAGAGAGGTATCGTGCCAGCCTGTATTGCTGCATCGATATCGGAGCTGTTAGAACACCCACTTGTTACTTGGGATTATTACCAAGTAGGTTTTTAGTGGTGTGGCTATGAGTAGTGGTTTCACAGCTCCAAGTAGAATTCAGATAGGTTTTAATGGAAACCTTCATACATCTTTCTATTTTCATCATTACTGTGCATCTTTCTTTCATCAGTCCTATCCCATCATAAGTCCTGTTACTTTAGCAGGTAGCTGAAGATCTACATGCATAGACTATCTTTACTAAAAGTAATAGCAGGTCTCTTTTCATGTGTTAAATTATCTTGGTGTTCTCCCGGCTTTGACAAGTGACAATAGTTGTCACAATAGGTAGCTAGAAACCAGACTTCACAGCATGTGTCAAGTTAAATCCCATAAAGCTAACTTGTTTATTTAGAAGTTCGTGCTCTTCCTCTGGGATATCTGTTTTTCCTTTCCCTATTCTTAATTCTTCACTGTAAGAAAAGACTACTTTCTTCAGAGTGTAATTGTTCACTTAATACAGGCAGTGTAAATATGTGGCAGATTTTGTTGGTACTTGTATAGAAGGCCTTCCTGAAGCTCCGTTTCCTGAAACTCCATTTCCTGAAGGAAATAACTTGGCAACTGAAGAGATGGTTTTCCCTTTGAATTAATATTGAGCTAGTGTTTTCCTGGTTTGAGGGGAATGCTCTCTCCCAATGGAAGGGGCATGGTCCTGTGTGCCTTATGTTTGAGCCAGGGCATTTGGGCCCAGCCCCATAACTGGAATTTAGCTCCTATAAATGTCTTGATGTTTGTGCTTTCCTGTCATTTCAGAGGAAACTATTCTTTTTCCATTCTAAGAAAGTTTGTTCTGTGGCTGGTTAGCTTACTTGGAGCCTTCTGTAAAACCTGGAAGGGAAAACTTATGTGTAATGGGACAGAAGGCTGTTGTTTTTTTCTTTTTTTTTCTTTTTTTGTAATAGCGTCTACAAATGATACAGGGTAATCTTGTCTGTTGCCAATGTTTGTGAAGAAATGTCAAAAAAACAGATACATTCAGGGTGGAAACGGAAATTATTCTAAGTGCAGTTTTCAATCTGAGAAATGCTTCTCTTTGAAATATTTTGTCTCCAACCAGTTTTAAGTTTCATTCTTAATGACGAGATTGGTACTGCTTTAGTGTCTTTTCCAAGTAACTTTGTGTGTGTACATATGTGACTTACTGGAAAACATGAGATTACATGGCACAGAGCTTTTTTTCAATGTGAGCATAGGATGGGTGCTTTAATCATAAGTGGCAAAACCAGGGAGTTACCTACGACGTGCCAAGTTAGTATGTCAGAACTCTTATATCTGAATGTGCTAGTGCAGTTTTGTTTGCGACATATCGAGGGAGAGACGTTCCAGAAACATGTATATGTACAATTTTTGCTGTCCTTATACCTTTATACTGCTACTACTTCATATTAGTCTGTTTTTTCTAGTAAAAATCAATCCAACTCTGAAAAATTCAAGCAGTGAAAGGGAGGAAAGAAATACCAAGAGTTAGAAACATCTAAGAATGACTGAGAGTAACTTTAAAATTAGCATAACATTTCTTGTTTTCCACAGACTGCTACACTGTGGTGTATTGAGGCTAATGCACAGGTCAAAAAGGAAAACGGTAATGCTATTCTGACTGGAGTACCTGTCCATAGAGTTAATAAGTATCATCTTTGCTACCTTCAGTCAGCTAAATAAGGCCAATTCAAACAGATCTTTCAGACTCTTTTCTTGATAAGGCCATTTTTTAAATCATCTGACCCCTTCTTCCGCCTTTCTTTGTTTCAGTGGCACTTCTCCCCTAGCCTGTCTCAATGCCATGCTTCATTCCAATTCAAGGGGAGGCGATGGACTCTTTTACAAACTGCCCGGACGCATCAGTCTTTTCACACTCAAGGTACATTTTGAGTTCCTGCTCTCAATTGAGGGGTAAGGTGTGAGTTCTACTTGTTATGCATAGCTGAGTGTTAAACTGTCACTGAACATCATATGAGCTGAACATGCTGCATGTCAGAAAAAAAAAGAGTGTCTGGAATTCATTGTTTTGTTTTAGCTTGCACCTTTCAGCCATAGGTGATAAATTCCTTTTAGAATCCCCTATTATTACTTGGATTGCCGAAGCAAGTTGACCCTCTTATTTCAGTATTCGATGTTCAGCTCAGGTGGCTGATTATCAGAATAATTCTGTTCACTCCTTTTCCAGCAGCTCCAAGGGAAACACAGTCAACCAATAAATTACACTGGTCTGAAAGCGTGTAGCTACAAGTAAAAATCTTGTTAGGAACACGTATATTAATTTTTCTGGTTGTTTGCTTTGTGTTTCGCTGCATTCTGTGTAGAGTTAGCATCGCTGTTTTTGTCAGATCTTGAGGTCTGCCTGAAATGTTTTTCATTCTAGTTTACTGTCCGAGTAATCTTAAATGTTGAAAATGTTTCTGGTCTCAGGCTTTTCTTTTGTATTGTTCTGTACTGTTGCATCCCTTGATGTTTGTCTATTAAGCTGATACTTATCTCGGCTATTTCACTTTCACCCTTTTTCTGCTATCAGAAAGTGTTTTTGTTAAGTTATGTTTTGTTGAAAATAGATGGAACTGAAATGGCTTTGATTATACAAATAGTAAATAAATGTCTTAAGCTTCATATCTTAGTATCAAAGCTGCTCTGATGCTACCTGTTCTTTAGTAGCAAGAATGAGACATTTCTCTTTATTAGACAACTTGTGGCACTTTTATGTGAGAAGTAAGCAAACAGTTAATTGACCTTTCTTGTTTTGAATACATTTGAGTCACTCATCTAGGAAATGTCTGTGAAGTGTGCTAATAGTTTATTTCTTGTGTCTGGAAAGAGAGTGTAGATTAACTTAATTTAAGCTGATGACTTCTGTTCTGTTAGGAGCTCCAGAATATTTAAAAATGTCTTTCTGCATCAAATGGATTAAAATAGGGAAGATGAAAAAGCTGAACTAAAAACTGTACCCACTAAGCTGTCTGCTCCCATTGATTTAACTCATAGCAACTGGGAGGGAAGAATTGTAGTCATTTGAGTTCTGCTTGGCCCATTTAGAAGGATGCCTTGCAATGGTCTCGGAATCTATCTGTGCCAGAAGGGGAGGAGCTGGAGGATACAGCAGACGCAGAAAGTTGCGAGTCCAATGAAGCAAGCACTGTGAGTGGTGATAATGATGGTAAGTGTCTCACAACATTAATCTTAAACTATAAGCTAAGCGTCTACTTCAGTGTCTGACTGAGTGGGCTCCTCTTCCAGTGTCTCTTGATGAAACCTCATCTAATGCCTCGTGTTCCACTGAATCTCAAAGCAAGGGGCCTGCCACTGCCAGGGAGAGCTACAGAACAGCCTCACAGGTAGGAAGAAGTGGGAATAATGGTAAGCGCAAAGCCTCTTAAGGAGAGCTTTTATTACTGCATGATAGTTGGGTAAGCATGAGCGAGGTTAGGTGTGCACAAATGCATCGTTGTCTCCTATACTGCGGTGGTGGTGGTAGTAGTAGTAGTAGTGAGGATCATACTCCAGGGAGTTAATTTTGAATTCTGTGCTATTAGTAAGTGTTGTTAATGACTGGCACCTGGAGATTTAATTGGGGGCAAGGTAAGCTCTTTAACTGGGAGATGTGCTGCTTAGATTATCTTGACCCTCCATAGTGGTGGTGGTGTGTTTTTTTATTTTTTATTGTTGTTCGTTTTCTTTTCTTTCTGGACCACAGACAACCAAACAAAAGAAAAAGACTGGTGTAATGCTGCCACGTGTTGTCTTAACACCGCTGAAAGTAAACGGGGCACACATGGAGTCTGCGTCCGGTGAGTATTCCTTTTTTTTTGGTGATTTTTCTGATGACAGCATAGATAGCTTTTCATCAGTCGTTCCTAGTTAGCTGTATAAGCTTGCATAAGGAATTCTTTAACGCTTGCTGAGAATGCAGATGACTGCAGAGAACTGTGCTGTTGGATAAGGACTGTATTTATCTCGGTCAAAATTGTTAGTAACTGGGCAATACCCAGTAACAGTGATCTGTTATTAGCGGATAACTCTTGTTTGCTAAGATCATTCTCCAGGTTGGTCTTCTGCTGTTCTTCGCGTGTTTTTGTGAAATTGTTTTGCTTTTAGGCTTCACAGGAAGACATGCTGATGGAGAGAGCAGCAGCACATCCAGCAGTAGCAGCAGCTCTTTGGCCCTGTGCAATGCCACCATGCGCAGTAGAACAGAAATAAACAGGGATCCTCCACAGCTGCTGAGAGGTATCCGAAAGCCCACAGCTGGTAGGTGCTTCTGGTTAAAGTCAGGAGAATAACTAGCCGTAAAAACGGGTGGTGTTGATGTCTGTCTCTTTTTGAGGAAAGAACATCCAGGTTTTCTTCCTTCAGAAGACATATGGCAGTCTTAAGGCTCTTATGCCAGACTTTCCTCCCCAAACTTTAGTGAGACAGTTGTTTAG